AAAGACACGCAAACTTAGTTTTGGTGACATTTCAAGCAGCATAAATCCATGTTCTTTTAGATTTAAAAGCTCTTTTCCAGAGATGATAATTTGATCGACACATTTCAAGAACATTCTAGAATGTTCATATAAAACAATCACAGTGTAAGCTTCTCTGATTCTAGGAAAAAACAGTATTCATTTGGATCATAATTACCACAGAGAATTACTCCTCTGAGAACATGGCTTTCAAATTCATTTAATGACCAGCTGGGAACTTACCAGTATTGAAATCTCTGAAATCAGTATGTTGTAGACAGAATCATGGCCTCCAAAGATGTCTGTCTCCTAGGCCCCAGAACTCATAAATATGTTACATTGCATGGCAATGGGGAATTTCTGTGGCTGGTGGAACAAGGATTGCTAATCAGGTTATTTTAAGCCAGGGAGACTTTCCTGGTATATTTGGGTGGACCCAGTATAATCTCAAGATCCTTCAACATGGAAGAGGCAGGCAGATCCACTATTAGAGAAAGCAAAGAGCTGACTGGGCACTGCTGGCTTTGATGCTGAAAGATGGCCACCAGCCACAGAATGAGTCTGGGTAGCTTCCAGACACTGAAAGGGCAAGGAAGCAAATTTACCCCCAGAACCCCCAGAAAGAATCACAGTCCTGGCAACAGCTTTGATGTTTTAAACTTCCAGTCTCCAAAACTACAATATGGTAACTCTGTCTTGGTTTTAACCACCACATTTGTGGCCACCTGTTATAGCAGCATAAGAAACTTGTAAGAGTACAGTTGTGCTTCTACATTCATAACGTTCACAGGTGTTCATTAAATAGTATCACTCCAGGTGTTCACGATTTCATTTATAGTAAGTGAAGTCTTTCCAAGACTCCCAAGGTATAAAAGTGTAATACACAAATTAGTTCGGTGAATTTCCACCCTTTCTTGCTTTCACAGGTTTTTCTGTAAGTTCTCCCATGTTTTACGCGTATCCACATTCAATGTCTCTAAAGTTGTTTCTGACATACATTCATATAGGTACACAATATGAATAGAAACATCACATTCTTTCTTAAGAATTCCTGAGAATCTTCGACACCAACTGGGCTATCATCTCCACACAAAGCCTTCTCCCACAACAGCTGTGTTTTTTTTTTAACTTTTATTTAATGAATAAAAATTTCCAAAGTACAGCTTATGGATTACAATCTCTCCCCCCCCCCCATAACTTCCCTCCCACCCGCAACCTTCCCCTTTCCTGCTCCCTCTCCCCTTCCATTCATATCAAGATTCATTTTCAATTCTCTTTACATACAGAAGATCAGTTAAGCATATATTAAGTAAAGATTTCAACAGTTTGCACCCACATAGAAACACAAAGAAAATACTATTTGAGTACTAGTTATAGCATTAAATCACATGTATAGCACATTAAGGACAGAGATCCTACATGAGTAGTAAGTGCACAGTGACTCCTGTTGTTGACTTAACAAATTGACACTCTTGTTTATGGCATCAGTAATCATCCTAGGCTCTTGTCAGGAGTTGCCAAGGCTATGGAAGCCTTTTGAGTTCACCAACTCTGATCATATTTAGACAAGGTTGTAGTCAAAGTGGAAGTTCTCTCCTCCCTTCAGAGAAAGGTACCTCCTTCTTTGATGACCTGTTCTTTCCACTGGGATCTCACTTGTGGCGATCTTTCATTTAGGTCATTTTTTTTTTTTTGACAGAGCGTCTTGGCTTTTCATGCCTGAAATACTCTCAGGGGCTTTTCAGCTGGATCCTCATGCCTTAAGGGCTGATTCAGAGGCCAGAGTGAACAGCTGTGTTTTACCCAACATGATTTCATTGATGTCTGGCAGGTCTGACTTCTCTCAGAAGTGTGCTTACCAACCACTGCAGCCTTAGGGTTCTGTCTTAAACGAGCTCTGACATATAATGGAAGACTTCTGCTAAAAGAACTTTCCTACATTTCGAGTATCAGGAGATTTGTTTTCCTATACAATATCTGTAAGATATAACACATAATGTATTACTGAAGGCATGGTCCCATTCACTACATTTGTAAAGCTTCCTCTTGTGCACATTCCTGATTACTTACTAAGATCTGACTTCCTGGGAAAGCCTGCTTCCCAATCACTACACTTCTGCCTCCCAGGAACCTGGTGATGCTCTGCAGGGGCTGGGTTCCTGAAGACACTGTGTTCACATGGTTTGCCACCTGCCCAAGCCCACTCATGCATAAAGATGTATGATCCCCCAAGGAAGATTTTTTTTTATCTTTTATTTAATGAATATAAATTTCCAAAGTACGACTCATGGGTTACAATGGCTTCCCCCCCATACCGTCCCTCCCACCCACAACCCTCCCCTTTCCCACTCCCTCTCCCCTTCCATTCACATCAAGATTCATTTTCGATTATCTTAATATACAGAAGATCAGCTTAGTATACCTTAAGTAAGGATTTCAACAGTTTGCTCCCACACAGAAACATAAAGTGAAAAATAATAGATGATTTTTTTAAATGATGATGAAATCAGATCAGACCTATTGTCATGTTTAATCCCAGTGAGAGTCAAGTTGGGAATTGATAATTTCTTTTTTTTTTTTTTACAGAAGATCAGTTTAGTGTACATTAAGTAAAGATTTCAATCGTTTGCACCCCCATAGAAACACAAAGTGAAATATACTGTTTGAGTACTCGTTATAGCATTAAGCCTCAGTGTACAGCACATTAAGGACAGAGATCCTACATGAGGAGTAAGTGCACAGTGACTCCTGTTGTTGCCTTTACAAGTTGACACTCCTGTTTATGGCATCAGTAATCTCCCTATGCACCAGTCATGAGTTTCCAAGGCTATGGAAGCCCCTTGAGTTCTCCGACTCTTATCTTGTTTAGACACGGTCATAGTCAAAGTGGAGGTTCTCTCCTCCCTTCAGAGAAAGGCACCTCCCTCTTTGAAGACCTGTTCTTTCCACTGGGATCTCATTCACAGAGATCTTTTTGCCAGAGTGTCTTGGCTTTCCATGCCTGAAATACTCTCATGGGCTTTTCGGCCAGATCCGAGTGCCTTTAGGGCTGATTCTGAGGCCAGAGTGCTATTTAGGACATCTGCCATTCTATGAGTCTGCTGAGTATCTCACTTCCCATGTTGGATCACTCTCCCCTTTATTTATTCTATCGGTTAGTGTTAGCAGATACTAGACTTGTTTATGTGCTCCCTTTGACTCTTAGTCCTTTCACTATGATCAATTGTGAACTGAAATTGATCACTTGGAATAGTGAGATGGCATTGGCACATGCCACCTTGATGGGATTGAATTGGAATCCCCTGGTATGTTTCCAACTCTACCAATTGGGGCAAGTCAGCCCGAGCATGCCCCAAATTATACATCTCTTCCCTCTCTTATTCCCACTCTTATGTTTAACAGGGATCACATTTCAGTTAATTTTCAACACTTAAGAATAACTGTGTGATAATTACAGAATTAAACCAGTCATATTAAGTAGAACAGACAAAAAAAATACTATGAGGGATAATGTATTAAGTTGTCCATTAGCAGTCAGAGCTATGCTGATCAAGTCACTATTTCTCATAGTGTCCATTTCACTTCAACAGGTTTCCTTTTTGGTGTTCAGTCAGTTGTCACCGATCAGGGAGAACATATGGTATTTGTCCCTTTGGGACTGGCTTACTTCACTCAGCATGATGTGTTCCAGATTCCTCCATTTTGTTGCAAATGACTGGATTTCGTTGTTTCTTACTGCGGTATAGTATTCTAAAGAATACATATCCCATAATTTCTTTATCCAGTCTACCATTGATGGGCATTTAGGTTGGTTCCAGGTCTTGGCTATTGTGAATTGTGCTGCAATAAACATTAGGGTGCAGACCGCTTTTTTGTTTATCAATTTAAACTCCTTTGGGTAAATTCCAAGGAGTGGGATGGCTGGGTCGAACGGTAGGGTTATATTCAGGTTTCTGAGGAATCTCCAGACTGATTTCCATAGTGGCTTGACCAGTTTGCATTCCCACCAACAGTGGGTTAGTGTCCCTTTTTCCCCACATCCTCGCCAGCATCTGTTGTTGGTAGATTTCTGTATGTGAGCCATTCTAACCGGGGTGAGGTGAAACCTCATTGTGGTTTTGATTTGCATTTCCCTGATTGCTAGTGACCTTGAACATTTTTTCATGTGCCTGTTGGCCATTTGGATTTCCTCTTTTGAAAAATGTCTATTGAAGTCCTTGGCCCATCTCTTAAGTGGGTTGTTGGTTTTGTTTTTGTGGAGTTTCTTGATCTCTTTGTAGATTCTGGTTATTAACCCTTTATCTGTTGCATAGTTTGCAAATATTTTTTCCCATTCTGTCGGTTGTCTCTTCACTCTCCTGACTGTTTCTTTTGCAGTACAGAAACTTCTCAATTTGATGCAATCCCAATAGTTGATTTTGGCTTTGACTGTCTGTGCCTCCCGGGTCTTTTCCAGAAATTCTTTGCCTGTGCCAATATCTTGAAGGGTTTCTCCAATGTTCTCTAATAACTTAATGGTGTCAGGACGTAGATTTAGGTCTTTAATCCACGTTGAGTGGATTTTTGTGTAAGGTGTAAGGTAGGGGTCTTGTTTCATGCTTCTGCATGTGGAAATCCAGTTTTCCCAGCACCATTTATTGAATAGACTGTCCTTGCTCCAGGAATTAGTTTTAGATCCTTGATCAAATATAAGTTGGCTGTAGATGTTTGGATTGATTTCTGGTGTTTCAATTCTGTTCCATTGGTCTATCCATCTGTTTCTGTACCAGTACCATGCTGTTTTGATTACAACTGCCCTGTAGTATGTCCTGAAGTCTGGTATTGTGATGCCTCTGGCTTTGTTTTTGTTGTACAAGATTGCTTTAGCTATTCGAGGTCCCTTGTGCCTCCATATGAATTTCAGCATCATTTTTTCTAGATCTGCGAAGAATGTCTTTGGTATCTTGATTGGGATTGCATTGAATCTATAAATTGCTTTCCCCAAGGAAGATTTTAAATAAATTCACCTTCTGTGAATGTATAGCCTTCTGCCTTGTGTGCATTTTCTTATGTTTAATGAGGACTGACAGGTGGGTAAAGCCTTTGCCACACTCACTGCAAGCATATGGTCTCTCTCCAGTATGAGTTTGCTGATGCTGCCTTAGATTTGACTTGCTTCTAAAGGCTTTTTGGCACGCACTACACTCATAAGGTTTCTCTCCTGTATGAGTTCTCTGATGTTTGGTCAGGTCTGACTTAAAGAAAAAGGTTCTTCTACATTCACTGCACGTATAAGGTGTCTCGCCCGTGTGAAGTCTCTGGTGTGCAAGGAGACAGGCCTTCTGGGAAAAGGTTTTCCCACACACACTGCATCCGTAGAGTTTCTCTCCTGTGTGAGCTCGCTGATGTCTACTGAGCCAGCACTTCCTGCTGAAGGCTTTTTCACATTCACTGCACCCGCAGGGTTTCTCTCCTGTGTGGGTTCTCTTATGAACCGGGAGCTGTGACTTCCTGGAGAAGGCTTTCCCACACTCTTTACATTCATGGGGCTTCCCTCCCGTGTGAGTCCTCTGGTGCTCCGTGAGCTGAATCTTCCTCATGAATGTTTTCCCACATTCATCACAGCTGTGGCATTTCTCTCCGCTTTCAGATCTCCGATGTCTAATGAGCTGTGCTTTCCAGGAAAAGGCTTTCCCATGCTCACTGCACACGTGTGGTTTCACTCCTCGGTAATTTCTTTGATGGTCACTGGGTTGTGAATTGGTGGTACTGGTCTTAACATATTCATGGTCTTTAATTCCCATCAGAGTTTGATCGCACTTGATGTGGACACAGGATTTCCCCTATCCAACATACTCACCTGGATCCTTTCCTGCATATCTTCCATTCTGGATAGCAGAACCTAAATGAGATTTCATAGTTTAACATCTGAGTCAAACTTACATTTTATATGAAACAGAAATAATATCCAAGGGCATAACTTTGCTGACATCTCCCCACACTTTTTAAACCTGCCTTGAATTTGTGGGTGCTACTACACATGCTCAATCTCTCATATTTCTTTCAGGAAAAAGAGGAATGAAAAAATGAAAATGAAAAATGAAACAGCTACTTTTAAAAATAATAATGTTTAATCTATAATGAACACACATAACTTTGGCTACTCTCCAAATAGAACACGGCAGAACGTTGACAGACCTAGAAACAAACACACTACACCTAGAATAAATTAAGACAGGGTGCATCCATTCTTCCAACAAATACTGAATGGGCTGTGAGTTGTGATACCCAAGTGACTAATAATAATATTCTCTGTCTCCATAAAGCTGTCATTCTAGTAAAAGGAGAGAGAATCAACAGGGAAGCAAAGAAGTTAACACAATTACAGAATGTGAGAAATGGTATGGAAGAGGTGATATAGAGTGGTCGTAGGTAAATCTTAGATACAATAGTCACCCACAAAATACAGAAAGCTGCATTTACATCACAGTTTAAGGATGAGCAACATAATGAAAAGAACTAGATGTCCAAGAGGGAGTTGCCAGTGTACAAAGCCAGAGGCAGAAAACACAGGCATGACCAGGACATGTGAGAGAGGCCTGGAGCACCTGGAAGGTCTTGAGCTTAAAGTGGAGTAGACACAGTTAACTTGGGCAAGACCGGCATAACTGACAAGAGTTCCTGGAAAATGTGTATGTGAAAAAAGAGTGCACAGACTGTCAAATGTTTGCACCAAAATAAACTTCTCTTTTTATTCCTTCTATGAACTGTTTACTTATTTGTTTTAAAGATTAATTTTATTCATTTTTAAGACAGAGTTACACAGGTAGGTAGAGCCAGAGAGAGAAAGGTCTTCCATCCACTCACTGGTTCACTCCCCAAATGGCCGCAACAGCCAGAGCTGAGCTAATCCGAAGCCAGGAGCCAGGAGCTTCCTCTGGGTCTCCCATGCAAGTGCAGAGGCCCAAGGGCTTGGGCCATCTTCTACTGCTTTCCCAGGCCATAGCAGAGAGCTGGATCAGAAGTGGAGCAGCCAGGACTGGAACCAGTGCCCATATGGGATGCCGGTCCCCATGAACTGTTTAAAGTAGCTTCATAAATCCTGCAGAAAGAAGTGTTAGTAACTAAATTCAATATGAGCCATTGAACTTTTTTGTGGTCATATTCTGGATTGGTAGTTCCAAAAAGTCATAAGATAGTTCTATGGAGAATAAACATAAGATATGAAATTGTATAAGATTACAAAGGAAGCTATGGTACACTTTAGGGAGTTCTGAGCATGAATCATTACCATGGAGGTAGAGAAATGTGCAAAGCTAAAGCCCAGAGCATGAAGAAGGAAAAGCTATCTATGGGGAAAGAAAGATAGAATTTTCTGTTATAACAAATGTTCAGGGGTCCAGAGTTGTGGCACAGAGGCTAAGCCTCCGCCTGTGGCACCAGCATCCCACATGGGTGTCGGTTCGTGTCTCAGTGCTCCTCTTCTAGTCCAGCTCCCTGCCTGCAGCCTGGGAAAGCAGTGGGAGACGGTCCGAGTGCTTGGGTCCCTGCACCCGCATGGGAGACCTGGAGGTCTGGAGGTCTGGAGGTCTTGGCTTCAGCTCAGCTCAACCCCCAACCACTGTGGCCATCTGGGGAGTTTGCCAACAGAGGGAAGACCTTTCTCTGTCTGTAACTTTACCTCTTAAATAAATAAAACCTTTAAAAAAATGCCAAAAGTAGAAAAGAGAAAAACTAAGGATGGCTCCACAGTGTGTGGCTTACACATTCATACAGGCGCTGGTGCCACAGAATAAAATAAGGGAAAAGAAGGGAGTAGTTGTTCAACACAGCAGTAAAGATACCCACTGTTACACGTTAAGTAAGACTTGGCTCACCAAACTCACACAAACCTATAAACCACAGAGTTTGATGGCTGATGGAGTAAGGGTGGAGACTTGATCCAATTATGGCTCTGGAGGTCGTCCTGTGGGAGGTCTTCAGGTCACTGCAGCCTTGCCCCTAGACGGAAGTTGTCATGAAAGCGTGGGTTATGTGAGCGGGCCTGTTTCCTGTGTCTCTGTGCATCCTGGCTCACCGCGTCGTCATTCCTATTATAATTTCCTGAATTTCTACTTGTACAACATCTCTGCATCCATTAGGTCACTTCCCCTACTGAGCAGTCGGAAGCCCAATCTGGAGACACAGCCTGTCGTTTGAAAATACCCCAAATAGTCAATATGCGGCCAGCACCGCGGCTCAATAGGCTAATCTTCCACCTAGCAGCACCATAACAGGGTTCTAGTCCCGCTCGGGGCACCGGATTCTGTCCCGGTTGCCCCTCTTCCAGGCCAGCTCTCTGCTGTGGCCCGGGAGTGCAGTGGAGGATGGCCCAAGTCCTTGGGCCCTGCACCCCATGGGAGACCAGGAGAAGCACCTGGCTCCTGCCTTCGGATCAGCGCTGTGCACGGGCCGCAGGGTGAACCAACAGCAAAAAGGAAGACCTTTCTCTCTGTCTCTCTCTCTCACTATCCACTCTGCCTGTCAAAAAAAAAATAGTCAATACACATAACTGATCAAAAAACAAAATAAAGCAAAACAAAACCTGTGTGTAGAAAGATACGATAAATGCATGCAATGATGTCACCCGCATGTTCAGGGAACCATGATGTGGTCTCACTTGCACGTTCAGTAGTCTGTCCTGAGGAAGGAAGGAGACTACACAGACCCTTTTCAACATAAACACTACACGTGGTCATTATTGAGTTGGCACAGCATAATTACAAAGTAGAGAGGAAGTCAGGAAACAATTCCAAGTGAGCAGGAGAGCAGTCAAACAGCACTTCGTGAAGACAAACAGAGTGGGCAGAGTCAAAGGCAGAATCGGAGTGTAAAGACACAATCACAGGCACAGACAGCACCCGCACTCCTCTGACATCCTCACAGACACACACAGCACCCGCACTCCTCTGACATCCTCTGCAACAGTCAAGACAACACATCCTTTTGTTCCTCCCTGGAATAACTCTGTCCTTGTCTGGGGACACCTTCTGGCTCTGCCCTTACTCACAGCCCTGGAATTCCTCATTCTAGTTGGCTGGGTTCTTTTCCAGCTCTAAAAATGCACATCAGAACTTTTTCTCACCCCAAAGTCACACCTCATGTTTTCTCGTCCAGCTCCCCAGCTCTGATGCTCTGCCCTCCACAGAGGAACGCAGCTATAGCATCAAAGGGAATGAACAGAAACACTGAAATCAGTCAATGTATATAGCCAATGGGGCAACGTAAGCCTGTTAGCATGGCTTGAGATGGGAATTGACTGTGGAATTCACAGTCTTTTCAAAACAACAAAAATCAACAAGAACAGCAGAGACTTTCAAAAACAACAGAACAGGGGGGCAGCACTGTGGCATAGCTGGTAAAGCCACCGCCTGCAGTGCCGGCATCCCATATGGGCACTGGTTCAAGTCCCGGATGCTCCACTTCCAATCCAGCTCCCTGCTTTGGCCTGGGAAAGCAGTAGATGACTACCCAACTCCTTGGGCTCCTGCACCAATGTAGGAAACCTGGAAGAAGCTCCTGGCTCCTGGCTTGGGATCGGTGCAGCTCCAGCCATTGGGGCCATCTGGGGAGTGAACCAGTGGATGGAAAAGCTCTCTCTCGTTCTCTCTGCCACCGCCTCTCTGTAACTCTGCCTTTCAAATAAATAAATAACCAAAAAAAACACAATACAACAGAGTGAAGAAGGCAGACTGAAGGAACTCCAAGGTGATGAGGCACTGGAGAGTACAGCTCTATAGCAGAGCCAAGTGAAATGCACCTGAGTCCACACATTTGCTGGGAGGATTAATGATCCTGGTTTCAGACACTGAAGCTGAAGGAGAAAGAATTCCACAGGATAACTGCCCTGGCTGCAGCAAAATACAGCATCACAGAGCAGGTGAGACTACAGAAAGGGAGCTGCTGATTGGAGAATATCTGTCAGAATCAGACAGCTTGAATCTTCAGTGTCTATGAACGTACTTTGGTCCAAGTATCTGGGAGAAAGACAACTTCTGGTTTCACATACATTAGCAGGAAATCAGGCTGACAATACACAGGATTAGATACAGGTCAGACATCAGTGGCAGAGGTATCAATTTGGTAGTCTCCAGCAGGCCTTAAGAATGAATTTAATTCATTCAGGCAGAAGATAAAACAGAAGGTGGGCAGGCAGGGAAGCAGGAGTGAGTAAGCTGACAGCTGGTCTGAGAGATGAGGTGCAGGAGGCCCTTAGATGAGCTAAGAGAGGCAGACTGTCGGGGAAGGAGACCAGCCCCTTCCCAGGGGCAGAGATGCCTACGTGCTAAGTGCAAAAGGATCCAGCCAGGTAGCGAGGGGGCTTCAAAGCCAGCGAGGCAGAGGCCAGGAAGTGAAACTGCAGGAAAGAAAAGATGACACAAGGAGGCTGGGAAGAATGGAAGCAGACAAGAAGTCACGGCTCCAGGTGAGATGCATTGCAGCCAGATCCAGAAAACAGGAACAAAGAAGGTGTCACCCTTTAATAGCAAACAAAGAGGAACAGCCAGGAAAAGTTCTCTCAACCACCTTTTGAGAGTGTCAACCCTTCACTGACCACCTGGGGTCTGTGTGGCGTTTCTCCCACTGTCTTGGTTTTCACTCACTTACCTGGACAGGTTTGACCACAGGCTGCTCCTTCTACCATCCATGGGGGCTCTCCTCGCTGCAACTTGAAGAGTGAACTGGGTTTGGCACCCTGATATCCTGTAAATGGGAAATCCTTGAGCACCTGGCACCAAGTATCTATGCCTGGACATCTATGAAAACTGGAGTTACACTGCAGGAACCACATATGCACTTCGGTGACGCATAAACCTTTTGCACAGGAAGGGTGCATATATACTCTAAGGCCAAAGGGGAGAATAGAAGTCCACGATAAACCTCACACCATCAGGATGGCTACCGGAGAACCTGGAACCTCTTTGCGGTGGGTGAGAAGGTAAGAGGGCCCAGCTACTATGAAAAGCAGAATGGTGGGCCCAGAGAAAACTACAACTGGGGACAGGCGCTTGGTGAAGTGGTAGAGACGCTGCTTGGACACCTGCACCCCATCAGAGAGCCTGGGTTCAGGTCCCGCCTCCACTCCTGTTTTCAGCTTCCTGCTGATGTGTACCCTGGGGACAGGCTGGGATGCTTACGTACTTGGATCCCTGCTATCCACATGGGAGACCTGGGCCGAGTTCCAGGCTCCCAGCTTCAGAGTGGCTCAGTCCCGGACATTGTGGGCATCTGGTGAGTAAGTCAGTAGATGGAAGACCTTTCTGTCTGTCTCTGTGTCTCTTTGCCTTTGAAAAAAAGTAAGTAAAAAAGAAATTGTAATTAAACCTAGAACTACTGTGTGATCCAGCAACTTCACTTCCAAGTGCACCCTCCAAAGAACTGAAAGCAGGACCTGGGGATGATTGGGCAGCCATGGTCACAACAGCATAATTCACAACAGCTGAACTCTGGAGACGACCAAAGGCCCCCTGGTAAATGAATAGATACACATTCTGTGGTACACACAGGCAAGGCAGTGCCACGCGGTCTCAAAAAGGAAGGCACTTCTGACATTTGCTACAATGTGGATGACCTTGCGGACATTATACTGAGTAAAATAAGCCAGCTGCAGAAAGACCAATCCTGTACGACTCCATACACACGAGGCAACTACAGAGGCCAATGGAATGGTGGCTGCCAAGAGCTGCAGTTACTGTTTCATGGTATAAAGTTTCAGTTTTACAAGATGGAAAGAAGCTTGGTGGTGATGGGTGCACAGTACTGTAAAAGCATTTACCATTTTATGTACTTAGTTTCATTTTATAGGAAGAGACAGAAGTCCTCTCTCTGCTGGTTCACCTCACACATAGCCAGGACTGGGCCAGGCTGAAGCAAGGAGCCCAGGACTCCATCTAGGTCTCCCAGAGTTGGCAGGGACCCAAGCAATGGAGCCACCATCTGCTACCCCCCAGCATGCACAGTAGTAGGAGCTGAAACTTGAGCCAGGCACCCATCTACAGGATGTGGGCACCCAGGCAGTGACTTAAGCACTACACAAATGAGGTCCCATGAAGGCATTTAATTCCACTAAACTGTATGCTAAGATGGTAAATTTGATGTTACATGTATTCTACCATGCTAGTCTTTTTAAAAGGCTCTGAGATACAGGGCTGTAACCCAAAGCATCACGCATGGATGGGACTCCACAAGTCTCACTCACTAGAAAGAAGAGGCACCTGACTGCGGTGCTGTCCTCACCAACTGCCACTAGGTTGCTGTAGTTCACGAGCATTACTTCCTTGTACAGGTCCCTCTGGTAGGGGTTCAAAAACCGCCACTCCTCCCTGGTGAAGTCCATGGCCACATCCTCGAAGGACAATCTCTGTAATCGTGAATGTCAATGCAAACTGAGGTGGATATTAATAGGTGATATGGAAGAGGGGCAAGGATGTGTGATCATTTTCCCCATGGTAAATCATACACACTGTCATAAACCACACGTCCATGCAATTCCACCTACTCTCCTTAACTTAAAAAACAACTAACCCAACATTTGCATGGATAGGAAACACTGCACTGGCAGTAAGAATATCCACAATTTCTTCAGTATTGTGAAGAGCCACCACTCTAAGTGTCCATCAAGGGGCAGGCGTGACAGGTTAAGCCACTGCTCGGGATGCCCTCATCCCTTGTCAGTGCCAGTGAGTCCCGGCACCTCTGCTTCCAATCCAGCTTCCTGCTAACACATCCTGGGAGGCAGTGAATGGCGGTTCAAGTGCTTGAGACCCTGCCAGCCATGCGGGAAACTCAGACTGGTGTTGCAGATGGCGGTTTTACCTGCTCTACCACAGCGCCAGCCCTGAATTCTAGAGTGTCTTTAAAGTTTGTCACCATACTGAAAGCCTTACAGACACATTATGTCCATGGTACTGCCTTGAGAATGGGAGGGTTCACGTTTAGCACAGACTGATGACTTCTCATGACCACTAACACATCAGAGTGAGCTTCTGTATGGGTTTTACTTTGGCAACTTGAATCTGAATCTTATTTCAGAGTTATTTCTCTTGAGTCTCGTTTATGGGCTCAATCTGTAAATGGTACAATATTTTTGCACAAAGAAAACATTTTCCCCAATGCATTATTTTCACAACCTTTCTCCACAGGTTCATTCTTCTCAATATCTTCAGGATATCAACTGTAAACTTACCACACTGTTTCTAGAAAACAACAACAACAAAAATCAACGAATCCTGTTATCAACACAGAAAGCAGAGAGGTGCAATCTCGATTCACCATCCAGAGATAATTCCAGAAGGGATCCAGCAGGTACACAATATAAGTCTGAGAAATTCAATCAAGGAAACAGAGGGTAGGTACTTACGGAAATGGACATAAATGTCGTCAAACTTTAATATTTAAAACATAACAGAAGAGCTGTATGAATATTGACAGCAGGTGGCAAAGGGTGGCCATTCTAACAGGATGCAAAAGAGTAACTATGCTAAAATGCAAGCATCAAATGAACTCGGCAAGTATCTCAGCAAAATCACAGTCTAGGAGGCTTATGTGGAAAGGCGGTAAGAGGAGGAGAGATCAGTCATACTGGAAACCTCTTTCATTCTCTCTAATTCACTCCAGAGGTCCACACACCATGAGAAAGTGTGTTAAAGATAATGTGACAATGGTTCCAGCCATCAGTGGTTAACCGGCTTCTACTGCACAGGTTTTACTCTTGAATGGCAATGACTTGGAAATCCCCCCTCTGCTATTCCTTGTTCTCTCTTCTCCAGCTGACCACTCTTTGGGATCGGTAGCTTGGTCACCTGGAAGTGGGGATCACAGAGAACTGGAGCAGTCCTGGACCCTGAGACGGAAAGTTCTGCTTCATGGAATGCGTTTACGTCTCACAAAATTGAAAGTTGTCCTTTGGAAAGAATTACACACAGCTGTGATAGGGTCCTAACGCTAATGAGCTCTATCACCTATTGAATCTGAATCCAATAATTGGGGATATCAGAATACCCCTCCACTGTGGACGCCAGAGTAAAAGTCAAGTATTGTGTCTACACGATATGAAGATACCTGGGAAAATGGTCTTCACCAAGGACAGTAGGTTGCTGTAATCTTCCAACATCACATCTTGGTAGGGGTTCTTCCAAACCCTCTAGCAGCCAGTATTCCTCCCAGGTGAAGTCCATCACTGCATCATTAAGTCAGTAAGCTCTGGAATAACAACTCTTTTAAATCTGGAGTTAATACAAAGCCACAAAGTACACAAGACCTACAGGAGAGTATTCTGATTTTCTTTTTAAAGATTTATTTATTTATTTGAAAGGCAGAGTTAGAGAGAGAGAGAGAGAGAGAGGTCTTCCATCTGCTGGTTCACTCTCCAGATGGCTGCAACGGCTGGAGCTGCACTGATCCGACACCAGGAGCCAGGAGATTCTTCTGGGTCTCCCACGCAGGTGCAGGGACTTGGGCCATCTTCTACTGCTTTCCCAGGCTACAGCAGAGAGCTGGATTGGAAGGGAGCAGCTGGGACTCAAACTGGCACCCATATGGGATGCCGGTGCTGCAGGCAGCGGCTTCACTCACTACGCCACAGCTCCAGCCCCTCTGATTATTTTTAATGTGTAAATTCGCAAAGATCTCTCTTATCTAGTTTTGAGTCATACTTTGTGGCTGAAATTCATTAAAACTACCATTTCTTTATGCCTTTACTCATTCAGTCTCCAGATGTAAAATCTCATTAAAACTGATCTACCTAAAAACCATCTGCAACGCTTCTGAGCAGCATTCAGTGTTCCCAATTATACTCCTAGGGCAATGAGAATATCAATGAAGCAAGGCCCTGCTCCCAGGGAGCCTCTCCGTGCGGGCGTGGCAAGCAGACTCCTCTGCAGTCTATGCATGTCAAGCTATTAGGGTTTAACACGGGGTACGATGGAACTATGCTCACATGGGCACAGCTAGATAAGGCAATAATAGTACCATGGAGTACAGGTGCTGGAATCAGTCCCAGCACAGTTCACAGTGCATTCAACAGTAAGAGGTGGAAGAGGTGAGGGGAAAACGTCTTCCAGAAAGGAACGACACAGGGAAAGGGGGTCAAATCCCAGGCTGGGTTTAACGAATTGCAGACAGGTCAGTAACGAAGAGGAGGCTAAAGAGGACAGATGGACGCCCATGTGCTGGGTGGGCACAGGTCTCGGAGCACCTGTGTGCATTTCCTGTAGACGCTTGAAGCCACTGCAGTGTTTTAGAATGTGTCTTAGAAATCACATCACACGTTGAACCACAATGCTCATAGAAGTAAACACGGAGCTCTTACTATATGCTACGTATCACTCTAAAGATTCTACAGGTGTCTGTGCAATAAGCTCCATTCTCTTGTTCCTAGAGATAAAAAGAAATGTTTTTTCTTTTTGTGCCTTTTATATTTTCTTAGGACAAAAATTGTTCATTGCTGGATCAGAGAAACAAAAGAGGAAGACACAACAAAGATAGTTCCTTATACTCAGGACCTGTAAATGTTTATGGATTTTGGGGCTGGTGCTGTGGTGCAGTGGGTAAAGCCCTGGCCTGCAGTGCCGGCATCCCATATGGGCGCGGGTTTGAATCCCGGCTGCTCCCCTTCCAATCCAGCTCTCTGCTGTGGCCTGGGAAAACAGTAGAAGATGGCCCAAGTCCTTGGGCCCCTGCACCCACGTGGGAGACCTGGAAGAAGCCCCTGGCTCCTGGCTTCGGATTAGCACAGCTCTGGCTAATTAGCAAGCTAATTAGCACAGCTCTGAGCCAATTGGGGAGTGAACTAGCAGATGGAAGACCTCTCTCTCTCTACCTCTGCCTCTGCCCCTCTGTAACTCTGCCTTTCAAGTAAACATACATAAATCTTAAAAAAAAAAAAAAAAAGCTTACAGATTTCAAGGAACTCATTTATTTCCTACTTCTGGACAAAGTAAATCTTGTAATTTTTAAAAATTCTCATTTAATGGTTGCCAGTGTTACCATAGAAATGTTTGCAACTTGGCTCTGGGTTCTGTTGTTCATTTGGCAATGGGACATAGCAGCGCCTCCCAGGATCCCAAGGCAAACAGCTTTCCCTTCCTGATTGGCTCCGTTTCCTTAGCTTTTTTCTGTTTCCTATTCTAAACTTCTCCTTCCTGGCTACAATGTATCTATCTACATTGTTGCATCTGACTGGACACAGTTGTTATAAATTTATGCAAACCCGGGTCTGGGCTGCTCCTGGCAGCTCTGGGGACATGTCCCACCCTTGGGATTCTGGTCATGAAATCTCACCGGGGGCTTCCTCAACGACCGTAGCTTTCTGGCCCAGGGATCCATGTTGCTCTTGTTTCTCAGTTGCAGGAGCTGCTGCATTCTATAAAACCAGAGCCTGTGGGTTTAAAAAAATGTTTAAATTACTAATTTACTTGAGAGTAAGGGGAAGGGGAGGGGAGGGGAGGGGAGAGAGAGAGAGAGAGAGAGAGAGAGAGAGAGACAAGAAGAAAGAAATCTCCTATCCACTGGTTCATTCCCCAAATGCCCACGGCAGCTGGGGCTAGGCCAGGCCAAACCCAGGAGGCTAGAACTGAATCTGATTCTCACACAGGTGGCATGGACCCAACTACTTGCGCCAGCCCCTGCTGTCCTCCAGAGTGTGCACTGGCAGGAAGCTGGAAACAGAAGCGGTGCTGGCACTTGAATGCAGGTGCTCTGATAAAATCTCTTCTGATGTGGAAACAGTGAGAGCACGTGTGTATACCTGCAGGGGCTGTTTCCACATGCTACAGTCTCCTTTAACTCTAACACCTCTGGGAGGCGCTGGGATCACTGCATTTCAGAGAACACCAAGACAGGGCAGGTTGTGCCCCAGTAGAAAGCAAATGGTGGAGGAGGGGATAAAACACACTTTCCAATGGATAAAGATCTTTGATTTCAGGCAGAATTGCCGTAGAATTCAGTGTTAAGCAGTAAAGAAAAAAAACCAGAAAACTATTTAAGACAGCTGTCAGACACACAAAGACAGGACGGCTCAGTGTTGTGTCCAGCCACGGCTGAGACTTCGTAGCCATTTCAGCCGAGCTTCGTGCACCCCAAGAGGAGACGGCAGAGCCCGGACCCCTCTGCTGGGACCTGGAACCGATCTGACATGATGGCGTCTGATGGCTCTGATATCGTGATTGAGGCCATGCTGGAAGTTCCCTGTAAGAAAAGAGGAAGAAGAGGAGGCGCAGCCGCAGCCATAGCCGGGACCGGTGCCATGGGAACCCAGAGCTCTACCGGAGGTCTCCGCTTGCCACTGGGCCCAGGGGTGGCCACAGGAAGAATCCCACCGGCAGCCAGTGGATAAGCGGAGCCCCAAGGAGCATGATGCCCGTGCAC